TTTTTAAATAACATACAAAACAGGGCTGGGGATGTGACTCAGTGGTAGAGTGCCCCTAAATTCAATCCCTGGTACCCTCTGTCAGGTCGGTGGTGGTTACTTAGGAACAAGAACCAAGGAGCCTGAGCATGGGAAAGAAACACCTGTCAATCAGCAGAGTCTTCTGGCCAATCCTGGATTTCATCCAGTTTCACCAACCAACTTTACCAGGATAAGAGACTCTAAAAACACCTTTTCCTGTCCCAAGCCCTTCCCTTCCTGCCTTAAGCCCCATAAACTTCCAGTCCCATGGAGCTCCCACCCGTTTTCTCCTGTGACTCTTCTCCTGTTTACTCTGTCTGTCTGATCAAGTTCTGCCCTGGAGCATCATCTCAAATAAAGCCTCATTCAGCGGCCTTTTAAAATCTGTCTCCTTTGGTCAACATCCATTGCTGGACCTCACACCCTCCCCTACCAGAAAAAATAAAATAAAATCACAAAGCATTGAGAGGGCCTGCTAGGGGTGTTAACTCCATGTGATTTCTGCCCAGTCCTCTGAATTTCAAAGTGAAGAAATTCAGTGAAGTGCAGTTAAACGGAGGGAGTAACTATGATTCTCTTAAGGCCCTCAAATGCCTCCTCTTCTAATTAGTGATGCATGAATAGATGAAAAAGATTCCCAGTTTCTCTATGTACTATCCAGCAAAACCACAGCTAAAGGAATGGGCTCTGCAGACCCAGTGAGGAAAGAACTATAGAAACAAAGAACCAGAAAGAAGCCCAGCTTGCCCCCCATGCCCCCCAAAGGGCTCCATTTTTTCTTCCTCAGCCAGAGCTGGAAGTCCAAAGAACAATAACAACAATAACAAAACAAACAATCAAAAATAACAACAACAAAAACAGGACAGCCAGCAGTGTTGGAAACAGCACAGTCATGGTAGAGCTTAAAGGAGCTTAGTGTGCCAGATCCCCTGGGTTGGTTTCTTTGGGACCTACAACAAAGAAACTAAAGAAACACCAATCCACCCTGCCCCCAAGGAAAAGAAAACGAACCACAGTAGATGCATTGCATTCTCCTCCCTTAATGGACTATCTAGTACCACAGATTTTGAACTCAGCTCTTCTCCTGAAAGGAAATGATAAAGCTTGGTTTAGTGGCAGAAGCCTGTCGCTGGAGGAAAGTCCACTTGAGATGAATTCGTGACCCAACCACATAGAGACCCCAGTGTACAAACAAGGCAACATGCCAGCTTAAAGTTCAAAGGAAGATCAGATTGTTTTTAATGACTTGAAGGCTTATTCTCTCATGTATTACTCTTCATCTCTGATCAGTTCTTGGGAGACCCAAAGTATCAGGAGGTGGGGGTGTGGTTGTCACTTAATAGTAGAGTACTTGCCTAGCACGTGTGAGGCACTGGGTTTGATTCTCAGCACCATGTAAGAATAAATAAGACAAAATTATTGTGTCCATGTGATAGTAGGAGCAAATGTGACTCCATTTGTTTTATGACTTCATCCTGTAAAACAACCATGCCAAGTAGAAGAGCCATGACTGGGGCAAGATGTTTTCCTTTTGCTATAGAAATCTTTAAGAACACAAAACTACTTAATGGGGTATTGTTTATGTAACTATTGGGGTATTGTTTATGTAACTAGGGTAACGGGGCTCTGTTTCTGTAACTGGGGTGACTGGGCTAACTGTGATTGTTTAGGTTTCCCTCCACTTGACTGCATTCTCCTGCTTCTGTAACCTGGCTTGCTTGCATTGGCTGGACCCCCTGAACATCCCTTTTGCAGTTTTCAGGCTTATAAGGAGTGCCCTTGCAATTGTTCGGGGCTGATCAGGGGAATGGCTTTATGTTCTGGTCAGCTGCCAGCAGTGTGCTTCAATTAAGGCTTGATTCGATTATATGTGAGTGGTCTGGAAGTCAGTTTATGAAACCCTGAGATGAAGCTTTAACTATAACATCCATCTCTAACTAAAAATAAATAAATTAATAAATAAATAATTTAAGGTTTGAGGAGGTGGGAGATGGACCCTTAGAGTTGCAAGAGGGGATGGGAAGGTAGGTCAGTGGTACAGCTACCTAAAGTAGGCTAGACTTGCATGTCAGGTGGGTTCTGATTTCAGTTCAATCCATTACCAGGATGGATTTTTTTTTAAAGTTTTTTTTTTTAAGACTCCTAAGATTTTCAGTGTGGCTTGTGAGGACCACATAGTCCAGTTAGAGCTTTCTTTTACTAGAGGAGTTGAAGATAAAAATTAAGTAAGGAAGAATAAGCCTAAAGTCTCAGTAAAATAGAGAGGGAGAGAAAGGGTGAGAAGTGAGTGAAAGAAAAAGAGAGAAAGTGAGAAACCAGCCTCTACCTCAGAGCAAAGCCTGTCCAAGGAAGGGGGCCTGACCCTTGTCCTTGGAAAGATCCACATAGCACTCCTAGGCACATACCCACCCTGCTGAGTTGTTTATCTACAAATAACAGGAGAGATCTGCTGCACCAGGTGTCCCTGACTCAGTCAGGCTAGGTGAGGACCCATAGGAACCCCTAGCAAACACCAATCAGCGTGAGACAGGGAAAATACCTGGGATGTCAAATGACCACCCCCAGTTGTTTATGGTGGTTGATAACATTTTAGGAAACCATTTATTTCAGTACATACTCCCCCTTGTGGCTTAAACCAATCAGTTCAAATGAATCCCCTCTTATACTCACCAATCACCCTTACCCAAGTTTTCCCTGCCACTGAATGTGATAATCAGTGTTAAGTGTTGTCCTTTGAATTTTCCCGTAGTGTGTGA